ATGGCTCTCTTTTCCCCTCTGTACCATCCTACAAATATACATTTATTTCACCCATGACTAATGTGTAACATATTCTCGCAACATTTTTCATATATGATATATGTTTTCAATAACATTGGAAATTGTAAAACATTTTCAAATTTTAAACTTTTACAATTTAATCTTTTTTAAACAAATTTCATAACGTAAAATTCCGAGCAACAATTGTCCATCTTACCTTCCAGAGTTTTTTTTGCATTGCTCGCAGGTGAAATGAGGTGCCCAGGGTTTGTCTTGATCCCCGACAGGCATGCTGAAATATGCCTTGTCGGCCTCACACATCTTAGCAGATGCTTCCACAGAGTACTTTTTCGCTCTTGTCTTGAAAAATTGGCCACAGATATAGCATAATGTGTCTGCCGGATGCTTGCAGCATTTTGATGCCATCTCAGAAAAATGCAGATATGTATGCACTTAGGCAGTTGGAACTAAGATGAACTGGTGGGCTTAAGGCCCCTGTATTTATACTACTATTTATACAGGTAGGAATAACAGTTCCACACTGCCCACCAGGGATTATTTGTCTGTCGTGCATAGCGACGCCCTCGATTTGTATTTCATAGAGCGCTTCGGGTGGGCTCGGCACCACGTGACGCGCCGCCCCACGCAGCTTGCGCCGCGTGGCACGGATCGCACGAATGCGCTGTCCAACCAAGTTCCTACCTGCCCACTCCGAAGGAACGTGTCATTACTGGAAAGTTCTAGAATGTTCTAGAGGTTACTCCAAGTTTACTCAGCACTGAATCTATCTGGAATGTTCTGGAAAATATGTAAATTCCAAAATATCACTGTCCTGGTCACAAAGTTTGTGGGGAATAATAGCCATTTTCTCTACTTTTGAGGCATAAGTAATATGGAAATAATACTTACTATCCAGGAACAAAAAAATATGTTACACAGTGCATTATTAGTGGTGTAGTAACTACATTATCAGTGGTGTAGTGACTACATTATCAGTGGTGTAGTAACTACATTATCAGTGGTGTAGTGACTACATTATCAGTGGTGTAGTAACTACATTATCAGTGGTGTAGTGACTACATTATCAGTGGTGTAGTGACTACATTATCAATGGTGTAGTAACTACATTATCAGTGGTGTAGTAACTACATTATCAGTGGCGTAGTGACTACATTATCAGTGGTGTAGTGACTACATTATCAGTGGTGTAGTGACTACATTATCAGTGGTGTAGTGACTACATTATCAGTGGTGTGTAGTGACTACATTATCGGTGGTGTAGTGACTACATTATCAGTGGTGTAGTAACTACATTATCAGTGGTGTAGTGACTACATTATCAGTGGTGTAGTAACTAAATTATCAGTGGTGTAGTGACTACATTATCAGTGGTGTAGTGACTACATTATCAGTGGTGTAGTGACTACATTATCAGTGGTGTAGTAACTACATTATCAGTGGTGTAGTGACTACATTATCAGTGGTGTAGTAACTACATTATCAGTATTGTAGTGACTACATTATCAGTGGTGTAATGACTACATTATCAGTGGTGTAGTGACTACATTATCAGTGGTGTAGTGACTACATTATCAGTGGTGTAGTGACTATATTATCAGTGGTGTAGTGACTACATTATCGGTGGTGTAGTGACTACATTATCGGTGGTGTAGTGACTACATTATCAGTGGTGTAGTGACTACATTATCAGTGGTGTGTAGTGACTACATTATCGGTGGTGTAGTGACTACATTATCGGTGGTGTAGTGACTACATTATCAGTGGTGTAGTGACTACATTATCGGTGGTGTAGTGACTACATTATCAGTGGTGTAGTGACTACATTATCAGTGGTGTGTAGTGACTACATTATCGGTGGTGGAGTGACTACATTATCGGTGGTGTAGTAACTACATTATCAGTGGTGTAGTGACTACATTATCAGTGGTGTAGTAACTACATTATCAGTGGTGTAGTGACTACATTATCAGTGGTGGAGTGACTACATTATCAGTGGTGGAGTGACTACATTATCAGTGGTGTAGTGACTACATTATCAGTGGTGTAGTGACTACATTATCAGTGGTGTAGTAACTACATTATCAGTGGTGTAGTGACTACATTATCAGTGGTGGAGTGACTACATTATCAGTGGTGTAGTGACTACATTATCAGTGGTGTAGTGACTACATTATCAGTGGGTGTAGTGAATACATACAGGGTGTAAGTAACACATTATCAGTGGTGTCGTAACTACATTATCAGTGGTGTAGTAACTACATTATCAGTGGTGTAGTGGACTACATTATTCAGTGTGTAGTGACTACATTATCATGGTGTAGTAACTACATTATCAGTGGTGTGAGGGACTACAATTATCAGTGGTGTAGTGACTACATTATCAGTGGTGTAGTGGGACTACATTATCATGGTGTAGTGACTACATATCCGTGGTGTCGTAACTACATTATCAGTGGTTTAGTGGACTACATTATCCGCTCAGCGGGTGCAGCAAGGTGAGGCCCCAATATTGGTTTGTCTCGCACAGTCACACCCTAGAGGCTATTATTAGACATCGCGGCTCCTCTTGCCCTAACCACATCTTGCGTACGCTCACGGTCGTGAACATTTAATGCTGTAGGAGGCGCTCCATCTTCACAAAATGCAGCCATCACAGCTCCGTAGTCACCTCTTTGTAGCATTACTTTACTGCTCTTAACTGAATTGAAATAAAACGTGCAACGTAAATGGAATACTTTTCATTAAAAAAATGTTAACAGCGTTCTCAAGTTTTTTGTTGTATTTTGACGCCCTTGTTGAAATCAAATATCATAGTGGTTGTCAAGGGGGGGGGGGGCAGCTCGTAGCTTTGGCCACCAGCGGGGGGAGGGGGTGGCACCTTGTGCCCCCGCGCTCGCTGCCACGGTAGCTAGGAGATGTTAACTACCTCGCTGGTATACAGGATGCCGTGGGTTCGATCCCCACCTTGAACCCTGCTGTATATTTGGAGTTTGCGGTGTCTCTCTTCACGCGGTCGCGTGCATTTGTTTGTCTCCGGCTTCTCCCCTCCACGTTCTAGAATCAACATCGCGGGGTTTCGAGTATTATTTGTGCAGCAACACACTGACTCGCGATGATATCAGCAGCCACTGCGTCGATCCATCTGCTTTGTGAGAGCCAGGGCGCTTACCTGGTATACAATAACACTGACAAAATAGTTTAGTTCTGCTCCTGGTCGGTCCGTGCAAAGCCTACGGTACTCACTTTGCCGGCCGGCGATGCCGCCTCTCCGGCTGACTGACGTCTCATCATCTCCTCCCTCCTCCTACTAGACCCCACACGCGCGAAGCATTGTAATATTTACGCAAAAATTAAACACCACCCCCGCCCACCCCCACCCTGGCCTTCGCAACACTGACTCACAAGTGGTGACCTCACGTCATGTCCCGCTAATTAAGAATTGGGCATGAGGAGGACTTATCCACAACTCTGTGGCTGTCCGCCTGATGATGCCGATTTGTAATTACAGGCGACACGTCACGGTGCTCGTATTGTAAATGCTGTCGTGGGTTTACTCTCCAACACACAACCACTGAGTGCTGTACTGGAAACGAATTGGCCACGTTTCGTTTACGTGACAAACCTTACTAATTGGCTGCGTCGGGTGATGGCGGGTTTAACGACACATTTATATTCACACGCTCTAACCCAACAAAATCTACAGAGACTCCTCTACTTGGGAACTAGTTGGGTTCCATATGTCTGTTCGTATGTCGATTCGTTCGTAAGTCCAACTTTACGCCTGTAGATTTCGTGAGTAGAGGAGTCCGTGTATTATGGATAATATTCAACCACGCGATGTCTCTTTATCCCGTCCACTCGATCCACGCCCGACCGCCTTTGTCTCCCCCAGTAGCTATGCTGACAATGCACCATGTACGTACTTGAGGCCGAGTCGACCTAGGGGAGGCCCAGGACGTGTTCACACACTCACCCACTCGCCCACAGACTCACCCACTCGCCCACCCACTTCCCCGCACACTCACCCACTCGCCCGCACACTCACCCGCCCAACTCACCCACACACTCACCCACTCGCCCACACTCACCCACTCGCTCACCCACTCGCCCGCACACTCACCCACTCGCCCACCCAACTCACCCACACACTCACCCACTCGCCCGCAGACTCACCCACTCGCTCACCCACTCGCCCGCCCAACTTGCCCACACACTCGCCCACTCTCTCACCCACTCGACTGCACACTCACCCACTCGCCCGCCCAACTCGCTCACACACTCACCCACTCACCCGCAGACTCACCCACTCGCCCACCCACTGGCTCGCCCACTCGCTCGCCCACCCGCTCGCCCACCCGCTCGCTCACCCACTCGGCCGCCCACTCGCCCACCCACACACTCGCCCGCACACTCACCCACTCGCCCACCCACTCGCCCACCCACCCACTCACTCACACACTCACCCACACGCCCACCCACTCACCCACTCGCTCGCCCACCCGCTCACCCACACGTCCACACACTCGCCCACCCACTCACCCACCTGCTCGCCCACCCACTCGCCCACCCACTCGCCCACCCATCCACTCACTCGCCCACCCGCTCGCCCACCCGCTCACCCACCCATCCACACACTCGCCCACCCACTCACCCACCCACCATCACTGGTGAAAGTAACCGAGGCCACCACCCAAGGTCATCAATCATCCCCACATCCTCTTTTAGTTCCTTGCAATGCTCGATTGTTCCCGTCGTCATCAACAGCACCTCGTCTCGCTGCGATATGTACAAATACACAGGACGCGTGTGTGTGGTGCACACGTCCTCCACCTCGCTCCTTCACAGCATCCCCCCCCCCCCTTCCTAGCCCCCCCCTTCCTAGCCCCCCCCCCCCCAGCAGCCCAGGGATAGACAATGAGAATAATCTCGGGATTGTCAGACGCACTCAATAACCCCCCCCCCTGCCCCCCCCCCCCCGTCACGCTACGTTAAAGCAAAAGTTTGGGAGTGCGTCTTATACTCCGGTAGCTGTGTACGGTGTTAACTTTATTTACACCGGGAAGACATCTGGAGTGGTGTCTTACTTCCCGGATCGTGTCTTATACTCCGGAGAAAACGGGGGTAACGATTATTCATCGATTAATTATCGATTATTTACATTGATTAGTTTTTGGCTCCAGGTATGTTGCATAGAGTATGTTCACGCCCGCGAACGAGTGTCGATTCTTCTTATTACTTTTAACCCGGCACGCGGAGGCACCCGCAACGAACAGAGTTGCTGGACAGTCGGCTCGGGAATCACGAGACGGAACGACACCGCCAACGCAGACGGAACGACACCGACACCACCAACGCAGACGGAACGACACCGACACCACCAACGCAGACGGAACAAACGACACGAACAATCGGACAAAACGACGCAACCGAGACGGCACGAACGAGGCAGACTCTCACCCCCCCTCCCTCCCTGAGATGATAAATCTCGACTCCAGAGTCCCAGAATCCGCAACCTTCGCCCGAATCTCTCGGCGTGCGGAGGTGGCGAGGTGAACGCACGCAGGGACTGTCTGCTTCGGGTTGCCACCTGTCCCGGGGTGGCAACCTCGTTATTGAAGAGGCAGCTCTGACGTCCTCCTGGGAGAGCCGAGCCCCCCCCACACCCCCTACCCCCCTCTAACCCCCAACCCCCCCCCCTCCGCGTGTGTACGATATCCTCTTGCCCACGAGACGTCCCGGTTTTTGTGAACTCGGAAGTGGCAACCCCGCCCCACGTCCACCGCCCCCCCCCCCCCGGGGTTGCGTGCGGTACAGAGGAGACGCGTTCACATCCATAGCCGGCAGTGTCCCTGAAGAGTTCCATTTGTGGCGATAGTTCCGCCCACCCCCCTGGTAGCCAAACCACTGTCCCCCGTGTCACCCCCCCCCCTCCCCGCTGTCACCTGGAACTGGCCGTTCTTCAGTCTGTCGCGTTGCCCGGATTATTTTTACCACGACGCCGGTGGGGGGGGGGGGGTCAATGTTTACTCGTCCTTCATGACGGCGCTGGCGGCTGAACCCACCGACCCACCCGGCCCCCAACATAAAGCGGCACCGGGCAGGGAGGAAAGTGAAAGGGGGAAGCCGTTCGGTTGTGGCCGATGGGCCACGAGTCGCGGGGTTCCTGTTCCTCCTCTTCCGCCCCCAATCCACGGCGTCCTACCGACGCCGCACGCCACCGGTGATTGCCAAACGAAGCCGTGGCGTGACGCAGCAAACGCGCGCTGCTGGTTCGCATTAAGATCGAGATCGTGTGCACGTGTGTGTGTGCACGTGTGTGTATGTGTGCACGTGTGTGTGTGTGTGCACGTGTGTGTGTGTGCCCCACGTGACACGGACGAGCGTCGGTTTAAATGGAGACACTGCGCGAGTCGACGAAGGCCGCCTGGCGCAGCGCCACACACAATGTCTTTGTGGCGCCAGCAGCACGGGCCAGGCGCAACATAAAACAACCTCTCCTCGCTTCCAGCGCACTCCAGGTGATGTGGTCGTAGGTGTCTGGAGATGGCATCGCGTCAGATCACGCGTCCTGTCATCATCATCCCCATCATCATCCTCTCATCAGCAAGCAACATCATCATCATCCCCATCATCATCCTCTCATCAGCAAGCAACATCATCATCATCCCCATCATCCTCTCATCAGCAAGCAACATCATCATCAATACCACGTCCATCACCAATCACCACTCTAAAAACATTACCATCAAACATTGCCCTCATCATCACCACCGCCGATGCCATCATCACCATTGTCAGCAGCATTATCACCATTGTCAGCAGCATCAATACTATCGTTATTATCATCTCCATCACCATTGTCATCATTATCAGCAGCATCACCATTATCATCGGCATCATCACCATTATCAGCATCATTGTCATCACCACTAGCAGCAGCAGCAGCATCACCATTAGCAGCATCATAACGTATTCTTCGTTGGAGGCGAACGCAGGCTCACGAACAGAATTTGCGACTTCTCGGATCGCAGTGGTGGTGGGGGGGGCGGTGAGGACCTCCCACAACCCCCCTCTCCGGTGGTGGTGGGGGCCACTCTGTAGACGTCCACCCGTTGTTTACTTTCGTAGAGTCCAGTTTCCGAAGGTCAAAGCCTTCCACCGAGGGGCAGCGGGGGTGGGGGTTGTGTGTCGAGGGGGGTAGAAGGCGGGGTGGGGGGGGCCTCAGTACATGTCCTTGAAGATCTCCTGCAGCAGGGGTGGCATCGCCGTGTCGGCCTCCGTGCGCCGAATGTCGTGCACCATCTGGGCGTGCTCGGCCACCAGCTGGCGCAGGTCGGAGAGCTTCTGCAGCAGCTTGGGGAAGAGGAACGAGCTCTCGGGGTGGCTGCGCCGCAGCTGCAGGTCGAGCGCCTGCAGCACGCGCTCCTGCATCCGCTCCACGGGGCCCACGTCCAGGAGGCCGGGTCGGTCTGGGCGCGGGCAAGGGGAGCGACGTTTAGAAAGCGTCGAGGGGAAACCTTCGCCCGCCGAGACTTTCACGTGGCGCGCAACGCGGGGTTTTTTTCGTTTGCGCTCGCAGGGAGGGAGGAGGGGAGGGAGGAGGGTGATTCAGAGGTTCGAGAAAATCCACAGGCAAGCGGGAAAGGAAGGCCCAGAGTTGTTCGCCCACAATTGTCCAAGCTCTGCCGTCCTTGCAGTGGAACGTCCAACTGGGGACAGTGAGCGGTGGACACACGGCACAGGAAAGCGCGAGTTCCCCGGACAACACGTGTGCAAACGGGGAGTTGATGCTCCATCGTCGACGGATATCATCCCACTTGCCGTACCGCCAGCGTACCCCGGCCAGGGTGCGGAGGGAGTTTCTTGAACGTCTACGCGATCCGTCAACCCTCACGGCCTCTGCGGTGCCGGGTTCCAGGCCACGCTGCGTGACCGCCATGGGGTCCTGTATCGAATTTAACGCAGAATGTCGGGACAGGTGCTCCTAGCAAGGGCCTATGGACGCACAAAGATCCCCCGTATAGCCTCAATAGACGCTTGGGACAAGTGCAGTTTGGCGAGCACCTATGAAGGCCGGCACGACACGTTATGGGGTGTCCAACGCCACGCCAGGCCGCCTTTGTCTCCCCAGTGGCGATGTTTACGTATCGAAGCAGGTACTCATTTGAGGCTTAGTCGACCTAGGGGAGGCCCTGAACCGATTCAGATATTCGTCACTGGTGTTGGCCGTGAGCAGGAATCGAACTCGGGTCACTGGGTTCGTAGTGCGGCATGCTTATCGCTATAAAGGCAAAGATCCCCCGTGCAGCCTTAACAGACTGCTGGGGAAAGTGCTGTGAGCACCTATGAAGGCTGGGACGGCACACGAGGGGGTGCGTGGCCAGCACCACACTCGGCCGCCTTCGTCTCCCCAGTGGCGCTTATTTTACCCACCGCACCAGGTTATACGACTGCTATGAGACACACGGACATACACACACACTCACACGCGTGTACACAAAGACAAATATCCCGTAACCCACTGTTGGCGCAAGTGCTGAAACGCAGGGAATACAGACGCAGAAGGAAGGCCACCACGTGGCCTCGGTAGCCACGTGACTGCACTGCCACCTGCTGCCCGCAGCGTCGCTCTGCAGCCGACATCATCTCGCCAAGGAGCACGAAGCCAGCGAGCGCTCTTCGTTCTCAGGCCACCGCGAGCCACTGGGGGGCTTTAGTGCCCCCCCCCCCTCCCGAACGTGAAAACTCCCCCCAACATCGTCGTCGTGCTGCTGTCACAAACCCAACAATGGTTTCACATGGTGTGGCGGCCCCTCGCACGGATGATGTCTGATCGGCCAAAGTGCCCCCCTTCCCCTCCCACGTCAACTCCGGCGGTCATCCTCGCAGCAGCGGCGGCGGTAGCAGCAGCAGCAGCGGCGGCAGCTCCAGGCTGCTGCCATCGAACACAGACGGCGGCGGTCACCGCATCGCGCGGCGCTTTCGGATGCGCTTTCTGCGGCCGTCTGGAACGCCTCTTCGCTCCAAAAAAAGGAATCAACTGGGAGCTGTGCACTTTTAAATCGTCCTCTAGATTGACTAATTAATTTCTTTAGAAACTGCGTTTTGTGTTTATTTTGTTGTTTTCGCGCCTGCATCTCCGATGAGCACGGGTGGCTACGTAGGCTGGGACCACACCCAGTCACCTTTGTCTCCCCACTTAACTCATCATCATCGTCGTCGGTCACCTGTGCGTGACTTGTGCTCTTTGGCACCAACCTTGGTTTCAAGATATCGCACAGCCATAAACCGCACACACCCCCACACACACGGATTACACACACACATTACACACACATTTACAAACAGATATTACACAGGTTACACACAAAGACAAAGATCCCGCGTATAGCCTGTAACCGACTTGGGGCAAGTGCTGTTAGTGAGAACCTATGAAGGCCGGCACGGCACACGAGGGGGTGGGTGACCAACATCACGCCCGGCCGCCTTTGTCTCCCCAGTGGCAATGTTTACAAATTGCACCAGGTACTCATTTTGAGGCTGAGTCGACCTAGAGGAGGCCCAAGACCGGTTCAGATAATCGTCACCGCTGTTGGCCATGAGCGGAAATCGAACTCGGGTAGCCAGGTCCGTAGTGCAGCACGCTAACCGCTACACTACCGCTCCCCACCCACCCACCCACCCCGCCACACACACCAACCTCGCCACACACGTCCACCCACCCTACCACTTACCCACCCACCCTGCCACACACCCACCCACCCTGCCACACACCCCCACCCTACCACTCACACCCACCCACCCTGCCACACACACCCATCCACCCTACCACTCACACCCACCCACCCTGCCACACACACCCATCCACCCTACCACTCACACGCCACCCACCCTACCACTTACCCACCCACCCTGCCACACACACCCACCCCGCCACACCCACCCACCCTACCACTTACCCACCCACCCTACCACTTACCCACCCACCCTGCCACACACACCCACCCCGCCACACCCACCCACCCTACCACTTACCCACCCACCCTACCACTTACCCACCCACCCTGCCACACCCACCCACCCTACCACTTACCCACCCACCCACCCTACCACTTACCCACCCACCCTACCACTTACCCACCCACCCTGCCACTCACACCCACCCACCCTGCCACACACCCACCCACCCTACCACTTACCCACCCACCCTGCCACACCCACCCACCCTACCACTTACCCACCCACCCACCCTACCACTTACCCACCCACCCTGCCACACCCACCCACCCTGCCACTCACACCCACCCACCCTGCCACTCACACCCACCCACCCTACCACTTACCCACCCACCCTGCCACACCCACCCACCCTACCACACACACCCACCCACCCTACCACTTACCCACCCACCCTGCCGCTCACACCCACCCACCCTGCCACTCACACCCACCCACCCTACCACACACACCCACCCACACACACCCATCGTGCCAGTGCAGCGCTCTAACCGCGACACTACTGCTCTCCACACGCGCACATTACACACACACAGATTACACGTACACGGATTACACGTACTGATTACACACACAGATTACACGTACAGAATACACAGATATTACACGTACACAGATTACACACATACAGATTACATGTACTGATTATATACACACGGAAGCCGATCTTAATACCGCTGGTACCAGCCATCGGCTAGTCCACTCAGCTCCACATCCTCTTGTACCGCATCAGCTCCATCTCTTCTCCAGCTCGTTTGGCCCCCTCTAGCAATCCCTTCACTTCAATCCCACTGCCCATCACCTAACCCTCAACCCTTGGACCCCCCCTCTCCATGACCGCCGTCTAACCCCCCCCCATCCCCCGGCCCAGAATGATGTCTCTCTGGGCCTGCGCCGGTCAAGAGGGGGGCGATCAATCGATCAGTCAATCGGTGTCTCTCGCACAGGATGATGGCGCTCTGGGCACCATGGTGGCTAGGAGATGGGAGATGTTAACTACCACGCCTGGTATACAGGAGAACGTGAGTTCGATCCTAACCCTGACGCCTGCTGTGTATTTCTTTCCCCGTGGTCACGTGGATTTTTCTCCGGGTCCTCCGGTTTTGCACTCAACATTTAGAATCAACGTCGCGTGTTTAGAGAATTTGACTGCTATAAATGTCCATACGTCAACGAGCCACTTCGTCGAGCTGTCATCTGTGACAGCCTGCAGATCGCTCCTGAACAAGCGCTACGTAGCTCAGTGGGTCCTACCTGGTGCAATAAGAAAACGAGTTCAGTGCCAGACTGCACATCGCAGGCGGCGGCGACGCATCGGTGTCTCTCACCGCCACAAGGTGATGGGGAGCTCGTTTGGCTACGTGTGGCGCGAAAGAAGTTCAACACAGAGCCCAGAATGAACACCACAGACGGAGGGGGGGGGGGCGACCGATCGATCGACCGGTCAGTGTTTCTCACCGCCGCACAGGATGATGGCGGCGACGTAGAGAGCCAGGTCGGTGTCGTCCAGCGCCAGGGCGTTGAACCGCACCGAGAACACAAACTTGGGCTCGAGGACGTGGCAAAAGGGCGTGCGCAGCGAGCGCAGGAACTCGCGCGTGATGAACGCCGTGCCGTACGCCATGAGCAGCCCGTCCTTGTTGATCTGGGCAGCCAGCATCGCGAAGATCACCTCGTACACACCGTACTGGCGTGGCGGGCACACGGGCACACAGGGCAAGCTGGAGTTAGTCATCGAGCTCCAGTGACGGTAATTCCATAAGGCTCAACCGTCGTGGTGAGCTGTAGCTCCTCCCTTTCTGTGCCAGCCCCGCCCACTTCCATATAGCCACGCCCACCCACTCACTCGCCCCTACTAGCTCGCAGGCCCCGCCCACCCCACTGCCAACCCTTGCCCACGTAGGCCCGCCCCACCGCTCAGATAGCCCCGCCCACTACGCAGTTAGCCCCGCCCACTACGCAGTTAGCCCCGCCCACTAACCGGGTAGCCGCGCCTTCGCCCGCCCCTCCCCCGGGACACACCTTGAGCAGCGTGACCTGGTCGTTGAGGTCGAGGGCCATGAAGCCCGGGATGCTTTTGGCGAACTCGGTGACCTCCCGCACGGACTCCACCACGCGGTAGTGGCAGCGGTTGAAGATGCGGATCTCCGGCGCGCCCTTCCGCAGCAGGTCGGCCTGAGCGTCGGCACCGCAGCCTCCTCCGCCGACGCCGCCGCCGCTCACCACGGTGATGAAGATGCGGTCGTTGCCGAGCACTCGGCCGCGCGCCGCCGCATCGCACGCCGCCCCGTCGTCCCCCGTGGCGCCACCGGCGCCGCCGCAGGCTCCGCCGCAGCCGCCACAGCCGCCCCCGCCGGTGGCGACGCTGGCGAGGCTGACGCCGATGGCGCCGCTGCTCTCGTGAATGGTGCCGTAGCCCAGCTTGTGCAGGATAGTGTCCTCTGCCCGGGCGAGCGAGTCGTGGTCGTGGATCACCACCTGCCGGGATGTGGCGGACCGAGAGACGAAATCGTCAGGGTCGGACGTCGCTAAACCGAGTGCGCCAAAAGCCGGACGGTGCCGCATCGTCAATGTAAAGGCACCACCCTACAATTGCGTGTTCGTGGCACTGCATGGAGACTTACAAAGAGACGAATAGAATTAGATAAGAGATCCACACACAATGGACGCACCGACTTATACAGAGACCCAGGTTTATAACTGAATATTTTCCATGTCACTGATAGACTACAGGAGACGACCGTGATGACGTGTAGACTCCACAGCGATGGCAAGAGGCTGTATACTGGACGTGGCATGCCGGGGGGTGCCAAGAATTCCCCCAGGGTCGCTGACCTGGCTCAACATCTCTTTGTATTGATTGATTTATTTAGTTTCCTAGCTGCTATTGATGAAACGAGCTGAAAATCTCAACACAGGACAACAGAGCTTCGGCAATCAGCCAGCGGCCACATCTGTCCCCCCCTCCATTGTCTCTGAGTCTCGCCTCCCTCCCCTTCCGTCTCTCCGTCTCCGAGGACCGCGAGGGAAGGCGAACCGCGCGTTTCCGCTGATTCCTCGTGCCGCCCTGCCGCCCACGATGCTCACCGCACTGCCAGCCGCCTTGCCGGCCAGGATGGCCTGCGCCCGGGCCTTGGAGAGCGGGAAGATACGGAGGTAGGCCTCCTGGATGACGCGCGCCAGCGAGCGCAGGTCACCCGCCGCAGCCGCCTCCGTCTCCCCCGCCCCCCCTCCTCCTCCTCCGCCGCCCCCCCCCGCCACCATTCCCGAGACCCCCCCCACCGCCAAGCACCGGGGCGGCCCCCCACCGGTGCCGCGGGCTCCCCCCCCACCCCCCCCGCCGCCGCGTGAGACCAGGAGGGCGGAGGCCGAGATGGGCCCTCCCACGAGCCCGTTGGCGCACACCTCGGCGATGAGCCGCTCCTTCTCTGCCTGGGGCATCCTCCCGAACCGGATCGCTGTGGGTGCCACGCAGTCACCGCCACCGTCGTCGTCGTCATTCAACAGAATCTATCTGCTGCCGGATGCCGACATCCTCACGATCACGGCAAAAGGCGTTTATCATTATCATTATCGTCGTCATCATCATCATCATCGTCGTCATCGTTATGGTCATCGTCATGATCATCACCATCGTCATCATCGTTATGGTCATCGTCATGATCATCACCATCGTCATCATCGTTATGGTCAGCGTCATGATCATCATCATCATGGTTATCATCGTTATTGTCACTATCCACTGCTGTACGAAGGCCTCCCCCAAGTCGTTGTCTCTCCGGGCGATCTCAATCACCGCGCTCACCCTCGTGCGACATGCCCACGCCGAGGCACTTCTGGAAGCGGCAGTGCTGGCACTTGTTCCGACTCTTCTTCTGGATCTTGCAGCGCTGCTCACACTTCTCGTACTCCAGCTTCATGCGGATCGTGCGGCGGAAGAATCCCTGGGAGGAGGGAGGAGGAGAGGGGAGGGAGGAGGGAGAGAAGGAGAGTTAGAGAGAGTGCGTCACCAGCTAACAAGTGGATGCTCCCACACGGTGGAGCCGTCGCCGCAACGGCCGTGACAGCGGCACTGAGAACCCGGCACGGGGATTTCGCAGCCAGGGCTCTGATGCACTGCCGAGTTTAGTGTTAGGCCGCGTAACGATCGGCGGTGAAGGGTTCGTATCGAATCAACGGAACTGTGTCGCCCAAGTAGGAATAAACGGTTGTACGGCTGCCTCGGCATTATTATCATCGCACAAGGCGGGATGCTGCTGGGTGCTTCTAGATGCTACCCACGCGCCTCAATCTTTGTTCCGCCTGTGTACGCATCTCACGTGTTATCGCGGACCGTGCTTTATTACCTTAACTATTATGCAATATTTATTATAACGCGATGTTTCCATAACGCGGCGTTCTTCAGGAAAGCAACAACAACTACTACCGCGCTGTAGGATAAAACGGACTGTGATCATCATCCACATGTCTAAAGTGGCGCATCTCATCCGCGGATCCCAATTCGCCACCACCGTGTATGGAAAGCCAGGAGAGTAAACAGAAACTGCAGGGTGAAACGGCCAGAATTATGGGGTTGAGCCCAATTTAAAGAGGTAAGCTTCCCAGAGAGGTCCTATGATGTAGCTGCTGACCCTGATGGTGGCATTGTCTTTGTGCTGTTCGCCTTTTGGCGATGTCCTCTGGTCTAACTCTGTTTGAGACGAGGCTCTAAAGAAAGCTGTCTCTGGCGTGGACCAATCAGTTTCAAAGACAATGTACATACTATCAGAGCATGTGTTTTGTTTGCATGTTCACCACAAGTATATGTGGTTAATGCAGACGTGATTCCTTGCAAAAGGTTTTGGTTTGGTGTTTTAACATCTTAACTGTTTTATTGCCAGAAAGGGTAAACCCTATTCTTACATTCCAAGAGAGACTTACAGATATCTAACGACTCCGATTGTCTTCTCACTGCACTGGGAAAATCCCGATGGGCCCTGCAGGAACAGAGCCTCGACCTCGGGAGTGCTGAGAAGGCGATCGAAAGATCTCGGCGACCTCGTTGGGAGTGTACAGAGGGATCAGCTGCTGCAAATGTTTGCTTTGGCTGCGTGGGGTGGGTGGAGAGTTTACGACGAGCCTTTGGTGGGAACGCCACACGGCCAGCAACCAAGCAAAGCGTGGTCGCGAACCGTCGACACGGAGAGACAACGCAGGCTCCATCACAGCGACCCTCGTGACGAGTGGAGTAATTGAAGGCACGGTGGCGAGATGTTAACTACCTCGCCTGGTATGCGGGAGGTCCTGGGGTTCGATCCCGACCCTCACTCTTGTACATATGGAGTTTGGAGTGCCTCCCTCTCTCCCCGTGGATTTTCCTCCGGGTCCTCTGGTTTCTCCCTCCAGATTTAGAATCAACATTACAAGTGATAAGCCACTTTGTTGAGCTATCACTTGTGATGGCCAGGCTGCTTCTTAAAAAGAGCTACGTAGCTCAGTGGGGCCTTACCTGGTAAAATAAAAAAGTAATTTAGTTTAAATTGCGATGACGATGATGATTGCAATAATCGTCTTTATTTACAGAGCGCCTTCCGTACCACTGCGGTTTCAGGGGCACTTTGCCCGATTTATGACAAAACATTTAAACATTTACAGAGACGAGCTTGCACACACGCACACGCAGACACACGCACACACACACTCACACACATGCACATACACGCAGACACATGCACACACACAAGCACACAAAGGCACAGACGCAGACATAAAAAATGCACATGCACACAGGCACACAAGCACACAAGCACACGCACGCACATATGCGCACACACACACGCAGACACACAAATGCACACAAGCACACACACACGCAGACGTGCGCGTTCGCGTTGTAAAAATAACAAACCAAAAAATCCCTCGTGAAGTGATAAAAAATACATCAAGAGAAGGTAAACAATGAGAAAAGTGGTAAAATAACACGCAATGCCAGGGTGAGCTCAGATTACGACGCCACCGCCATCACCGCTGCCACTTCCGCCACCGCCGCCACCACCACCACAACCACCACCACCGCTGCCACCACCACCACAACCACCACCACCACCGCCGCCACCACCACCACTACCGCCGCCACCACCGTCACCACCACCACCGCCGCCACCACCACAACCACCACCACCGCCGCCACCGCCGCCACCACAACAACACCACCGCCACCACAACAACACCACCACAACACCACCGCCGCCACCACAACACCACCGCCGCCACCACCGCCGCCGGCACCACCACCACCACAACTGCCACCACCGCCGGCACCAGCACCGCCGCCTGCCCCACCTTGCACCCCTCGCAGGCGTGGACCCCGTAGTGGAAGCCGGAGGCGCGGTCCCCGCACACGCGGCACTCGATGGGCAGCGCTGCCACCCCCAGCGCCAGCACCGGCACCTCGGGGGCCGTGCGCGGCGTCGTGTGCGGTGGCGGCGCCGCGCCGAGATCAGCGTAGCCGGCGTAGGCGCCGTAGCCGGCGTCCTGGCCCTCGACGCTGCCGAAGTCCGGGCCCGGCCAGGGCTTGGAGGGCGAGTCGGCAGGGGTAGAGAAGGGCGCGGAGTCGGACTCTGCGAGGAGACGGAGAGGGAGGGAGACACAGAGAGCGAGAGACAAAGAGCGAGAGACACAGAGAGCGAGAGACAGAGAGGGAGACACAGAGAGTGAGAGACAGAGAGGGAGACAGAGAGTGAGAGACAGAGAGCGAGACACAGAGAGGGAGAGACAGAGAGCGAGAGACACAGAGCGAGAGACAGAGAGTGAGAGACAGAGAGCGAGAGACAGAGAGGGAGAGACAGAGAGCGAGAGACAGAGAGTGAGAGACAGAGAGGGATACAGAGGGAGAGACAGAGAGGGAGAGACAGAGAGCGAGAGACAGAGAGTGAGAGACAGAGAGCGAGAGACAGAGAGGGAGAGACAGAGAGCGAGAGACAGAGAGTGAGAGACAGAGAGCGAGAGACAGAGAGGGAGAGACAGAGAGCGAGAGACACAGAGCGAGAGACAGAGAGCGAGAGACAGAGAGGGAGACACAGAGAGTGAGAGACAGAGGGGGAGACACAGAGAGTGAGAGACAGAGAGTGAGAGACACAGAGCGAGAGACAGAGAGGGAGAGACAGCGAGAGACAGAGAGGGATACACAGAGAGTGAGAGACAGAGAGGGAGACACAGAGAGTGAGAGACAGAGAGGGAGACACAGAGAGTGAGAGACAGAGAGCGAGAGACAGAGAGGGAGACACAGAGAGTGAGAGACAGAGGGGGAGACACAGAGAGTGAGAGACAGAGAGTGAGAGACACAGAGCGAGAGACAGAGAGGGAGAGACAGCGAGAGACAGAGAGGGATACACAGAGAGTGAGAGACAGAGAGGGAGACACAGAGAGTGAGAGACAGAGAGGGAGACACAGAGAGTGAGAGACAGAGAGCGAGAGACAGAGAGGGAGACACAGAGAGTGAGAGACAGAGGGGGAGACACAGAGAGTGAGAGACAGAGAGTGAGAGACACAGAGCGAGAGACAGAGAGGGAGAGACAGCGAGAGACAGAGAGGGAGACACAGAGAGTGAGAGACAGAGAGGGAGACACAGAGAGTGAGAGACAGAGAGCGAGAGACAGAGAGGGAGACACAGAGAGTGAGAGACAGAGAGGGAGACAGAGAGCGAGAGACAGAGGGGGAGACACAGAGAGTGAGAGACAGAGAGCGAGAGACAGAGAGTGAGAGACAGAGAGTGAGAGACAGAGAGGGAGAGACAGCGAGAGACAGAGAGGGATACACAGAGAGTGAGAGACAGAGAGGGAGACACAGAGAGTGAGAGACAGAGAGCGAGAGACAGAGAGGGAGACACAGAGAGTGAGAGACAGAGAGGGAGACACAGAGAGTGAGAGACAGAGAGCGAGAGACAGAGAGGGAGACAGAGAGCGAGAGACAGAGGGGGAGACACAGAGAGTGAGAGACAGAGAGTGAGAGACACAGAGCGAGAGACAGAGAGGGAGAGACAGCGAGAGACAGAGAGGGATACACAGAGAGTGAGAGACAGAGACTTTTGACTTTTATAAGTTTATTTCACCAGCGCAACATGCGCTGGAATATTGCTGTGCCTTGTAAGCCGCTCGGAAGCGACCATTCCGCAACCAGTGACCAATTAAATGCGTTCAGTCTCAGTGACAATCACCACAAAGCGAAACAGCGGCGTCAGTCCCGCACGACTGGACAAGAAAAAGTGAACAAAACGGGAGGGGGGGGGGGGTCAAAACGTGTAGATCAGTGCATTCTGCCCCACTGTACACAGAGCGTCCTTGGCGCACCCCCATTTCTTCATAAAGTCACTCTCCCCCTCGGCATGACCGTAATAGGCGAACTCCAACTCGAGCCGCGCCTTTATAAGGGCCTGCACCATCGCCAGCACTCCACAGCCACCGCTGCCGCCTTCCAGCCTCCGCTTCCGGGTCGTATAGATCGCCAGTTTGGCCTGGGCGCACACAAAGTTCGCGACGTGCCGCTTGTCGCCCCTCGTCCCGGTCACTCCGTACACAAAGCCGCTCTCGCAAAACGGGGTGCCCAGTCTCCCGAACACCTCCGCCAGGAAACTGAACAGCGGGGCGAGCCTTTTGCATTTGAGGAGCTGGTGGGCCAGGTCCTCCCTCAGTCCGCAAAATGCGCATGTGTCCGGAGCTCCCGGCACGGCTCGGCTGATCCACACCGCCGACGGTACAGTCCAGTGCGCTACTCTCCATTGGAGGTCGCCACATCTTTTGGCAGTGGGGGGCCGGTACATATCGCGCCACTGGGGGGTAGCGTCCGTCAGCTCAGAGAAATATACCCTCCACTTTGTGTCTGGCAGCTCCTCCAAGTCCCGGAAGTGCAGTGCCTTTACGCAGGCGGTGTAGAGCGTTTTCTTGCCGACTTCCGCCAGCGAGACACCCCTGCTGTTCTCCATCTTTAATAATTTTCCCCGGTCCTCGCGCTCAGAGGGGACGGCACAGGAGAAGGTCAGCTGGGGGAAGGAGGGTCCCTCCCTGTCGCCCGACTCTCCCAGCCCCACTCCGAGTCTCTTCATCGCCCGCAGGACTTCCCGCAACAGTTTGGTCCCGGCGAGCATGGAGCGCAGCCCGGCCGCTTCAGAGATTTCCATAGCCGGTCTCCACCTTCGCCGGCTAGGGTCCACCAGGTCGCTGACCCTGCTCACCCCTCCGGCAACAAACCGCGCGGCCAGGGTGCGTTCTTCCTTCAGACCCTGGAAGAGGTCGTTAGCGAATAGCGGCTCCTGCAGAAAAAGGCTCGCATCATAGTCCGCGGGCACCCTTTCCCATTCAAGACTACGCCAAGCATCCAGCAGGCTGCGATAATACCTCGGCAGCGGCGTCTGGTCCACCAGCCCCGTGTCCGTTAGGAAGAGCTCCCGGTCGTACCCGAGCCGCCCCGCTTGTCTCAGCGAGCTGCGGGCCAGGGCCTTCCAGGGCTGCTCCTCCGGCTCATACAGCAGGCGCCTTATGTCCAGGATCCGGAACGCCATCACCCTGCTGGCGACGCTCACCAGGCCCTGGCCTCCCTCCTCCACTGGCAAGCAGAGGACCCCCGGCCTCTGCCAGTGTTTTCCGTGCCAGACGAAAGCGGTGAAGGTCTTCTGCACCTTCGTCAGCAGCCAGTCTGGGGGGTGGAGGACTCTGGCTTTGTGCCACAGCATGGCCGCCGCCAGGTTGTTAACGACGAGGACCCGTCCCCTGTATGACATTCGAGGAGTGAACCGGGCCCACGCCTTCAACCTCCCCTCTATCTTCTCCGCCACATCCTCCCAATTCCGGCTTACCGTGGCCGGGTTGCCCAAGTACACCCCGAGGTACTGGGTACCCTCCGTTCGCCACCTCACTCCTCCCGGGAGTGTCAAGCCGCGCACCGTCCCCCGCGGCCCCAGACACAGCGCCTCGCACTTCGGCCAGTTCACCCTCGCGGAGGAGGCTCTCTCGTAGAGGCTGACCGCCCTATGCACCGCCGCCACGTCCCGCGCGTCGTTAACGACCGCACACACGTCGTCCGCGTACGCCGAGACCTTTACCGCAGCCTCTTCCGTCCCCGGGATTCGGAAGCCCGTCAGGGTCCGGTTCATCGTTAATAGTAACGGCTCTATGCAGAGCGCGTAGAGCAGCCCCGAGAGTGGGCATCCCTGCCTGACCCCTCTAGTCACGATCAGGGGCGCACGGAGCCGGTTATTCAGCTTAAGGAGGCTGGACACGTTCGCGTAGAGGAGTCTCACGTACGCGATGAACCCCTGGCCGATCCCAAAGGCCCTGAGCACCGCGTACATGTAGTCGCGGCTGACTCGGTCAAAGGCCTTCTCCTGGTCTAGGAAGAGGAGGCCGGTGTCCGATCCATGGGCGTCTGCCAGGTCAATCACGTCCCTGACCACCCCGATGTTATCGTGGATGGACCGCCCCGGGACACAATACGTTTGCTCCGGCCGGATAATCCTCCCTGCCGCGCCCTTCAAACGGTTTACCAACGCCTTTGCGATGATCTTATAGTCCGTGCATAACACGGACACCGGTCGCCAGTTTGCCACGACGCGCAAGTCCCCCTTCTTGGGCACCAGAGTGACCACTGCCCTCCTGCAACTCTGTGGCAGCTCGCCTTTTTCTAAGCTCACGTTCAGCACTTCGACCAGGGAAGGGCCGAGCTCACCCCAAAAGAACTTAAAAAACTCGGCTGGGAGGCCGTCGATCCCAGGCGCCTTCCCAGTAGCTAAGCCCCTCACCGCAGCCTCCAGCTCCTGGAGCGTGACCAGGCCTTCCAGCTGCTCCATCTCGGAGGAGGTAAGTCTGGGTGCTCCCTCTAGCAATTCTCCTAGAGCATCCTCATGGATGCTTTCTGCCGTGAACAGCTCCTGGTAAAAACTCTTCACGACCCTAGCGATGCCCTCGTCGCTCGTATGGATTTCACCACTCGGTGCTCGCAGGCTGGAGATAAGGTTTTTGGTGATCGGCTGTCTCTGTTGCCTGAAAAACAATTTAGTCGGCGCATCCATCTTTAGCAGATGCTGCATTTTCTGGTTCGCAAAAGCCTTGTAGGCCTCCCTGTCTGACACAGACCTGAGTAGCCGTTGCTGCTCCCAGAGCGTGCGGCAATCCGTATTAGTTTGGGGTGAGCCCAGCTCTGCTTCGAGCGCCAGCAGTCCATTCCTTAGCCGCTCCTCCTGCTCCCGCCTAGCTACGGCGTGCTGGCTCATGAACCGCTGGCAAAGCGACCCTACCTGCACCTTCCCATTGTCCCACCATTGCTGGAGCGAGTCGAAGGCGTGCTTGCGCGTTACCCACCCCTTCCAGAAGGCCCTGAAAGCCGTCTGGAAGTCCGCGTTCTCTAAAAGTTGCAGGTTAAAACGCCAGTAGGGCCTACGATGCCCAACAAGGGGGAGGCGCAGGCGCACCGTCACCAGGTGGTGGTCGGAGAAGCCGGACGGCACTATCCCGCTCACGTCCAGCAGGTTAACGCCGTCCGCGTTCACATAGAGGCGGTCCAGCCTCGCGAGGCTGATTCGCCCTTGTGCACTACACCGGCACCACGTATACTGGCGCTGGGCCGG